TTCCAAAGTTCCATCAACTAATATGAAAACACCAGGCATTGTGTTAGGTGCTATGAATCTCTGGCAGAATAACTAATTTTGAAATAAATGTTTATTCATACAGTAAGAGAATTTTATTTTAGAGAATAATAAGATAAGATTTAATGCTATGACAAGGTTTAGCCCCTCAACTCCCCCAAATAAACATTTATATGCTCTGTAGTATGTATTCACATTCAGCAAAGAATCTATATTGTTAGTACATCTTTACTATAGCTTGTTCCTCTAAAATTTACCTTTAAACAACTATAATTAAAGTGAGAATGCTTCTTTAAGCTGAATAGAAAATGTCCTCCCTCCAAAAAGGGGGTGAGGAAATTTGCTCTAAATTATTTGATTTTCGGACCTTGACATTTTCAAGAAAAATAAAAGGAAAGTTAGAAACTGTTTAGGTCAGATATCAGTCTTAAAAAAATAACACAGTTAAAGATAAGAAATACTATTCCATAACAGAACTTTGGCAAGAAACTTGGAGAATTTTTCACATTTTCCTCAGGATTTTGAAGATATATAATTTTATAATATTCTTTTAAAAATACATTTTTAATCCATATCATGAAGATGACAAGAACCAATATCAAAGATTTACGCAAATATAAAGTCATACCACATTTAGAACTGATTTGTTATAGCATGAGTATTAGTTTCCTAATGTTGCTGTATACTATATACACTTTGTGACCTAAAACAACAGAAATTTATTCTACTACAGTTTTAGAGACCAGAAACCCAAACTGAGCCTTACAGGACTAAATCAAGGTATCAAAAGGGCCAGACTCCCTTGAAAGGTTTCAGGGGAGAATCTACTTCTTGCTTCTTCCAGCTTCTGGTGGCTACTGGCATTCCTTGGCTTTTCACCAGATCATTCTAATCTCTGTTCTCACTGTCATTTGGATTTCTGCTCTTCTATGTCAAATTCTCTTTTGTCTCCCTTTTATAAGGAAGTTCGTGATTACATTTACAGCACACCTGGATAATCCAGGATACTCTCCAGGATAATCCTACTATCTCAAATCTTTAATTTACATCTTCAAAGTCCATTTTGTCCTATAAAGTAACATTTACATTTCCAGGGATTTGGAACTGGATACCTTTGGGGGCCATTACTTGGTTTAGCACCATATGGTTCTTCTTAGAAACACTAGATGAGTAAATAAATCCATTAGAATACTAAATAGGGCAGTTAATATATTTTTCTCATGGTAAATCAGCCAATCTAGTGAGTGCTATAGAATGTTCCTAGCCATTTGGTACTAACTCAGCTTCCCATGCTTTCTCACTGTGAATAAACAATCTGCATTTTGTCTTTCTGCCATTATTTTAGGTTCTGAAGAACAGTTTATATCTATAGTAGCTGACATAAAGTATAAAAGTGATAGTCCAACAGATGACATAACAGTGCTAGATTAGTTTGCTAGGGCTGTGCAGTGTTAAGTGCATGACATTAAGCTTTTGATTGCTGAAGCATCCATTTCAAATAAAGATATAGCCAGCTGTATTACACAGCTACTAAAAAACGACTAAAGAACCAGTCTGCCCACACTCATGAAGCTTCCCTTTTAAGAGCCCTGTGTATCCTAGATAACTGATTGCTTGAGTGACACTATTTTTCCCTTTCCGTGCCTTAATTTCCACTCTTAGCCATTAAATTCACCAAATAAAGAGATCCCACCCTCAGGCTCTCATAAAGGCAGAGCCTCAGATCCATGCTCCCTCCCTCTCTCTCTACCCCAGGCCTCACTGCCATGTGGCCTTCAGGCATGCCATGTACCCTCCAAGACCTGTGAGTAACAAATCTTGTTCTTCAAAGTTCCCCAATGGCTTTGCAGACATGACCCTGCGTCATAAGAACCACACAGGGGGCAGGTCCAACCACAACACTGGCCCCACTGGTGATGGAGGGAAGGTCTGTGGGGCTCACTGTGGGGCTCGACATGGCTGGGTGAGTGCCTCAGGCATTCTTAACCAAGAACATTACAACAGGCTGCTGTAACGGGGTAATTTAAAAAACGGAAACTTGCTCACAATTCTGGAGGCTGGAAGTCCAAGATCAACATGTTGGCAGGGTTGGTTTCTGAGACTCCCTCCTTGGCTTGTAATAGGCCCTCTTCTCTGTTTCACATGGTCCTCTTTCTCTGTGTCATTGTTCTAATCTCCTCTTATAAGGACACCAAGCATACTGGATTAGGCCCTACCTACTGACCTCATTCTAACTTAAAGACCCTATTTCCAAATACGGTCACATTCTAAGGTACTGGAATCTAGGACTTCTGGGAAAACACAACTCAGCCTATAACGAGTGCCAAAGAGTAGCATGCTTAATCTTAAAATTCATAAAATATCTTTAAGAAACTGATTAAGAAAACCTAAAATAAATATCAACAGGCCCGTAGAGTTTAGCAGAAGCCCCAAGATATTATGGATAAGAGCACCAAAAATATCACTAAAGTCAGTAAGCATGGACCAAGAATTGTATAACAAAGAGCTAGAAAAAAACAATTCCAGACATATTACGAATTTGAGATTTTTATAAATGTTAAATATAATGGCCAATATATGATATTGGGAACACATATCACAGAGACTAAACTATAATACCCCATAATGTTATACGGTTATCCACTTGTGGCTCCTGGGACCCCTGGGATCGAGATCCTGCCTTTTTGCTATATATCTGTGTATGCCAGACTTACTTTATACACTTCGACTAAAACAACAAAACTTAACAGATTGAATACAGAAACAAATATAAGAACCTAGCTTTTATTAAACAAAATATTAAAAAGCTAAAATGTAAAAATACCATTCTCACAATTTTTTTTAGATGGCAGTTATTTTTCATTAAAATGTTATTTGTATTTTAAAAAAACGGAGGACACCAATTACCGAAATCAAAAATCTATTTGTGCAAATAAATATGACCACTTAGGTAGAATGGCCAAATTCTTGGAAAAACACAAAGCTCACTCAAGATGAAACAGATAAAAAGAATAGCCCTGTATCTACTAAAGTAATTAAATATATAGTTAAAAACCTCCCTAACAAGAAAACTCCAGATCCAGACAGCTTCACTGATGAATTCTACCAAACATTTAGAAGAGAACAAATATCAATTCTATACACTTTCCCATAAAATGGAAGAAGAGGGAATACTGTCCAATGTATTAGGTAAGACCAGCATTACACTGACACTAAAACCAGACAAAGACATTATGAGAAAACTATAAACCAATAACTCTCAGGAGCACAGACGCAAAAGTTCTTAACAAAATTTTAGCAAATTAAGTCTAAAAATCTATGATATTAATAATACATTGTGGTCAAGTGAAGTTTATTCCAGGAAAGCAAGGCCAGTTTAACATACAAAAGAAAAAATATAATTTACCATAATAACAAACCAAAAGTATATATATGATCATTTCAAGAGACAAAGAACAGGCAAATCTGTTATCCATTTCTCATAAGGACTCTCAGCAAACTAGCACTGGAAGGCCACTTCCTCAACCTCATAAAGCACATTTCTGACAAACCTATAGACTACAGTAATGCTTATAGTAAAAGACTGAATGCTTTCCACTAAAACAGGAACAAGGCAACGCAATGTCCTTTCACTACTCCTATTCGACATTGTCTTGAAGCTTCAACCTAGTGTAGTAAGGCAAAAATAAAAAGAAAGAAAAATAGAAAAGGGAAGAAGTGAACTATCTTTATTTATAAACATGATCTATGCAAAAAAATCCAATGGAATCTACACAATATGCTATCACTACTAAGTGACTTTAACAAGGTTATATAATAAATAACTATATCTCTGTACATATAAGAAATAAACAATCAAGTTGAGATTATAAAACCAGTACCCAATAGCATCAAAAATACAATACTTTGGAATAAATCTGACAGAGATATGCAAGCCTTAGATATTGAAATCTACAGAAACCACATGAAAAGATGCTAATCATTAATAAGTAGGGAAATGAATATTAAAACCACAATAAGACACTACTATACACCTACTATTAGAACGGCTAAAATTAAAAACTGACCATAGCAAGTGCGAAGCCACTATAACTCTCATATAGTGCTGGTGGAAAGGTAAAATGGTATAATCATTTTGGAAAACAATTTGGCTATAAATTTGGTTATAAAGATAAAAGACATCTACCATGTGACCTATTTATTCCACTCAGAGGTAATTAATTTATCCAAGAGAAATAAAAACACATGACCATATAAATACTTGTACACAGATGTTCATAGTTTTATTTGCAATAGGCAAAACCTGAAAATAGTCTAGGGGTCCATCAACATATGGATAGATAAAAATGTGGAATAATGGAATAGTACTCAGCAATAAAAAGGAGTAAACTATTTCTATAAAGAACATGGATGAATCTCCAAATTGTGCTGAGTTAAAGTAGCTAGACCCTCACGTCTCCCCCAAAAATAGTATATACCATATGATTCCATTTATATTAAATTTGACTAAATATAAACTAATTCATAATGACAGAAAGCCTGAGGATACGGAATGGAAAAGAACAACAACAAAGGAGAACAAGAAAATTCTGAGAGGATGTTCATTACCTTGAATGTGTTGATGGTCTCATGGATAATATATGTACCAAATTTCATACAACTATATGCTTTAATTATGTGCAATTTATTTTACTTCAAGAGAAGTCTTGAAGAACAGAATAAGTGGTAATGGTTGCACAACAATATGAATATACTTAATGTCAAAGAACTACACACTTTAAAATGGTTAGAATAGTAAAATTTATATTGTGCATATTTTATTAAAAAAGAAGAGTAAGTTTACTGAACTTAAAGCTAAAGCTGACAGTGATAATAACTATAGTTAGTCAGTAAGAAGTAAGGAATCCATATATCCAGGCTACTTCTTTGATATATGCTGCCAGTTGCTTAAATGTGAATTTAAGCCTTTTACAAACTGTTACCTGTGAGATATGATTGATAGAAGACTCCATTCTCCGAAGCTGAGAGGCTTGGATGTCCAGCAATTGGAGTACATTGTTGGCCAAGGCATTTATTTGATAAGCAACACTAGCTAGGGATTGGGTTGTGTAGGCTTTGGTCTCTTCTAAAGCTTTTCTCTTGTCTGTAGCCTGAAATAAGAACGACCAATAGTTATTTAAGTTAACATTCACTAAACATATATTCTATAGAAAGGCAGAGTTATAACTCAATTTTTTTAATAGAAAAACCTGAGTCGAAAAACTTATCGAACCTATGAGATGATAGTCTCAGGACACCTATGAAGCCATGGCAGAGATCCCTATCTGCCAGATGGGAATTACTTCCTCCTAAGTAGTCCATCCACAGAGGTCCACTAAAGGAGCCACCAAGCAACCGACATCAGAGGCACACTATAACCGTTGGTTCTAAGTTGCTTAATTAAAGCTCCTAAACTAATTTATCGCATGACATCTTTAGGACCTTATGTCAACCCCAAGCTCCCAACCCACTGTTGAGAGCTCAGCTAAACTATTCAATATTGCTGCTTTGGCATCCATTTCCTGTGGCTAAATGGCCTAGAGGGCGCTTGAAATGACACTAGCTCCTCCAGCAAGCTCATGCCCTAGATAACAGCCCTCAGAGTCACAAGTAAATATATAAGTTCCTGATACGATTCCCCCAAGACTCCTTGTGATGAACAGTCTCTCCTGCCTCCCAGATCCTTCCCCTTTTGTGTCCCTTAGATCAAGACCCCACTGCCATTAGAGGTTATCGACACCCCACCCCCGACTCTTTTTGGTTTGAATTGACCAATCCTGCCTTAGCCCAAGAACCCCAAAGCCCTCCATCCCAGACCCTAAGGAAGGCATCTGCTCCAGGTCCTGCTGCTCACTCTGTGTATGAAACTTGCACTGACCACGACCACGACCACCCCCACCCCCACCCCCACCCCCAATGTGTACCCTTGAGGCATCCAGCATACCCTCTCCAGGACCAGTGAGTAATAACCCTCTCTATTCCACTTTCCCTTCAGTCTTTTGTTAAACCTTGGCTCACCATCTGATGGCCCCAGGGTTCTACTTAACAAATATTAACAAAAAATTGCAACACCCACTAAAAATGATATGGACTAAATCCATTCCACTTTATATTCCTGTTTATATTAACCACCATCAGAAATCTAACCTCCCAGTTATCCATTATGATCAAGCCTCTCTCCATAAAAACTACTGTGGATCTTATGACCCAATCCTCTACCCACCCATTCTTCCCAAACTCCTGTAGTGGTACACAAAGTTCAAAGCAAAGTTCAGAGCTAAGTTCAAAGACAAATGATAAACTTGTTGGAGGGAGCAACTTATATCACAAAGGGTAAATATCAGTAATATATAATCTAAAAATTAAGGCCAACATTCAATAGGAAAAACATGGAATAGAAACCAAACAGTTTACAAGCAGTAATTGTGATCAAGCAACCCTTATTTTACCTAATAATGGCCCCAATGTGCAAGAGTAGTGATGCTGGCAATTCAGGTCTGCCAAAGAGAAACCATAAAGTGCCTATTTTAAGTGAAAGATGAAAGTTCTTAATAAGAAAAAAAACTGCATGCTGAGGTTGCTAAAATCTACGATATGAATGAATCTTCTATCCACGAAATTGTGAAGGATAAAGGTATGCACATTAGTTTTGCTGTTGCACCTCAAACTGCAAAAGTTAGGCCAAAGTATGTGTTAAGTGCTTAGTTAAAATGGAAATTGCATTAAATCACATAACTGTGATTACAAATATAGTTACAATTGTTCTATTATTGTTGTTAATCTCTTACTATAACTAATTTATGAATTAAACCTTATCATAGGTAAGTATGTAGTATAGGAAAAAACAGTCTATCTAGGGTTCAGTACAATCCCCAGTTTCAGGAATCCACAGGGGGGTCTTGGAATGTATCCCCCATGAATAATGAGGGATGACTGTAATAAGAAATGTTGAGAAATATTGTTATTACCACTACACTATGGTCTCCAGAATATTGCTAAGATAGAAAAAAATGTTTACAGAATGCTACTATTTAACTAAAAAAAAGGGAAAGATAAGAAAATACATGCTTATATATTTTAAAAAGAATAAAAAAATTTAAAAATTACATATGGGGGAGGAAGTAGGTTGGAAAGAACATGGATAGAATTCTTTAAACAATACCTTGTTTTGTAGATTTGTTTTTGGAACTATGTAAATGAATTATGCAATGAAATTAAATTTTAAAAAGGGATTCTCCAAAATTAAATGTAAAATTAATCAATGAGCCTAAATGTGCATCCAATTAGTGGCTTAACCAGAAAGAAAATATTCTAAAAGCGACTTCAAAGCACAGTAATTTGTACATTCTTAGTGGGATTTATCCGTAAGACGGAAATAACTGAAAGAGAAAAAAAAAGACTGAAACTGTTTTAAATCACTTTACTGCTGATGGTAGTTTTGGAATTATTATTCTGAAACTGTTGTTTGTGTAGTGTGGGATAAAGGAAGTCATTAATTATATTTGTCATTGAGAACTGAGATTTTGGCTTGGTTCAAAAAGAAATTTGGACATAAGAAGAACAAAGTTAAGAAAAATCTGTAGTTCTGGATTTAAACTGAAACCATCAGTTTGAACTCGATTTGTATTTTATCATATCATACATCAATATCCTAACTGTCTGATGAAAAGGCCTAAATGTAAAACATGGTGACTATAGTTGATAAAATTGTATCGTATAACTGAAATTTGCTAAGAGAGTATAACTTAAATGTTCTCAACAAAAAGAAAAAAAGAAAAAAGATAAATATGTGAGGTGACGGATGTGTTAACTAGATAAGAGAAATTCTCTCACAGTGTATGATTATATTAAATTATCATAATTTACTTTAAATATCTTCCAATTTTGTCAGTTATATCTCAATAAAGCTGAAGACCGGGATGAGAAGAAAGGCCTAAAGATAAAGACTATCTAGCAGCCATGGAGCACCATTTATTATCCAGATCGTGATCTCTAATACCACTCTCCAATGCAAAGAACCAGGACTCCTAGATGGCTACATGTCTGGGCAAGAAATGTACAAGATGCACTTGGAACATGTATATCACAAAGCATGTGGAAGCCACCAAGGACTATTCTAGGGTCATGTCAAAAGGACTCAGGAATCAAATGGAATAAGCTGTTGCAGACCAAAGATGGGACAATGAAAACATCAATGAGGATAACTATAATGAAATGAAACACATAAAATATTTACACCTAAGAGTTTATAACAATATTAAAAAATAAAAAAACAAACCAAAAATGTCACTGGCCAGTTTTGAAAGATGCTCGAGACCATTTCATTTGGGGAAGAGAGGGGGGAGCTTTATTAAAGTATGAAATACATATAATACAAAAATTTTAAGTATGCAAGTCAATGTGCTTAAATGACCATGTACCGTGGTGTAACCACCATCATAAGCATGATAAAGAACATTTCTCTCATGTCCTTTATATAGTCAGTCTCTGGATCCTGGAAAACCACTCAATTTCTGTCATTACAGTTTTGCCTTTTCTAGAATTTCATATAAATGGACTCAAAAGTATATAGTCTTCTGTGTCTGGCTTCTTTTACTAAGCAAAATGTTCCTGAAATTCATCCTTGTTATTGCTAAATAATATTCCATTGTATGGGTTTACTACAAGTTGCTTATCCATTCATCAGCTGATAGGCATTTGGGTTGTTTACAGTTTGGGACTACTATGAATAAAGCTACTATGAATATCTGAGTCCAAGTCTTTGTGTGGACATATGTTTTCATTTCTCTTGGGTAATAATACCTAGGCAAATATCTAGGAGCAGAAGTGCTCCTATATATATTCCCACCAGCAATTTATGCGAATTCTAGCAACACTTGTTATGGTCAGTCTTTTTCATTTTAACCATTCTAGTAGATAAATAATGTATCTCGTTGTGGTTTTAATTTCCATTTCCTAATCAAATCATGATGTTAAGCATCTTTTCAAGTGTTTATGTACCATCTATTTCCTCTTTGATAAAGTGTCTGTTCCTCTTTCACCCATGTTTTTAACTAGTTTGCCTTCTTATTGTTGAGTTCCTTATAGTGTATTCCGAATACAAGCCTTTTGTCAGATACATTTTACAAACATTTCTCACAGTCTCCAGCTTGCTTTTTCATTACTTTTGCAGTCTTGAAGTCTAATTTACCAATTTTTTCTTTTATAGTTCATGATTTTTGTATCTTATTTTTAGAAATCTTTGTCAAAAGGTTACTAATATTTTTCTTCCATGTTTTCTCCTGGAAGTTTTTATTCTTTTTGCTCTTGCATTTACACCTAAGACATATTTCATTTTAATTTATTGCATATGGTGTGTTAGGATAATAGTCAAATTTTTCTTTCTAGCATCATTTGTTGAAAACATTATCTTTTCTTCAATAAACTACCTTGGTGCTTTATTCGAAAATCAAATGACTGACTGCATAGGTGTGAGTCTATTTCTGGATTCTTTTGGGTTCCACTGATAAATTTCTTGAGCCTTACTTACTACTATGTTGTACTGATTATTATAGCTTTAGTTAAGTCTTTAAATCAGGTACTGTATGTTCACCCAGATTTGTTTTTCTTTTTCAAGATTGTTTTGGAGATTTTAAAGTCTTTTCTACTTTCATATAAATTTTGAAACAGCTTGTCAGTTTCCACAAAGGAGCCTGCTGAAATTTTTACTTGGACTGTAGTAAATCTATATATTTGGGGAAAACCTAAATCTTAACAATATTAAATCTTCCATACTATAAACACAATAACTCTTATTATTTAGGCCTCCTTTAAATTCTCTCGGCAAAGTTTTTTAGTTTTCATGTAGTACGAGTGGCAGTTTATTAAATTTATCCCTACACATTTCATGTGTTTTGACTGTACCATGAAGGGGTTTTTAATTTCAGTTGACAATTATTCATTGCAAGCTTATAGAAATACAATTGATTTTTGAATATCGACCTAGCATTGCAATCCTACACCACCACTAAATTCATTTACTAGCTGTAGTTGCTTTTTTGTAGATTCCTTAGGATATTCTACATAGACAATCATGTAGTTAATCAATTACAGCAGTCTACCCTAAAAAGTC